AAGAAACTAAGGGCTAGAGATGATTAAACATTGCTTAAAGTCACACAGCACCTCAATGTCAAAGTTAAAAAAAATTAGAAGGTATTGACTCTTGTCTTTTCCCATTATGGCTAACAACCTGCTTCTGATGCGTAATACCTCAGATAGGTACTCTCACCACCAGCCTTCTTTCTTTTCTTTTTCTTTTCTTTTCTTTTCTTTTCTTTTCTTTTCTTTTCTTTTCTTTTCTTTTCTTTTCTTTTCTTTTCCTTTCCTTTCCTTTCCTTTCACCACTGAGCTACCTTCCCTGCCCTACCATCCTTATTTCAAACCTCAACACCTCCATTTAGCATATCATTGTGAGTACATTGACCCAGATGGAAAAGTGGAAGGGATTAGGATTAGGAAAGACCACAGGAGGCAGCAGATCTAGAGGGAGGAGAGTTCTGTCTTCCCTAGGTGACATGGCAAATCTTTTCTTGCCCAGAGAAAGCCAATATTCACAAGTTTTAGTCAACCAGCAGTGATAAAAAGCAAGTGAATTACAAAGAATCTCATGAGTTCTTGACAAAAATTATAAATGCTTGCTGAAATTATGTATTTTGGAAACCCCAGGAAATGAAAGGATGTTCAGCAGTGCTCATTGCAATTACCGGGCAGTCTGGTGAGATATATCCCTGTGTAGAAGGGGAGGACTTCATGACAGCAGCAGAGTCAGTACTCAGGGGGTAATTGCATATTTCTGTGATATACTTGCACTTAAGTTCCTCCCTTCCATTTATTCAGGTCAGAAAGATCACCTTATTAAATATTCCCTATCTCCATTCTTCACAGACAAACTGGATGATCTTCCTAGGTAGACAGTGAGGACATTTTCTATCACATAACACTTAGTACATAACACATGCAACACATACATCCCTGTTAACTACACCTACTCAGCCATAGCCAGCTGGACTTTGAAACTGGCGAATAGCCTAGGATCTTGGTCTATGAAAAGTACATAGTGCTGTCTTAGCAAACATTCTCAATGGATGAATGAATTATTCTTCCAATTCATTGTTTAATCACAGACATATTAGTGACTACAGTCTGCAGCCAAACCTCAACTTTGCGTGTTCCTGGATCCAGCTTTTATGGACATTCATGCCTCATTATGACTCAGCAGAAATGATGAGTGAAGCTGGCTCTTACAAGCCTTCAAATCCTCTAATGAACTGATTTCTCTATGTCACTATAGCTGTATGCGGTTGCCTCACTCTCTGTTTAAGTACCAGCTGTTTGAGAATATTTATTTTCGTTTGGAGAGCTCCAAAGTTTTTTCATGTGGAGCTATATGATCTAGAGAGTAAAGCTGAAGAACTGACCTTAAGTTCTAAGAAGTTGGGCAGGACTAGAGAGTAAAGCTTAAGAACTGACCTTAAGTTCTAAGAAGTTGGGAAGGACTTGGGAGAGTAGGTGAATGGGGGGTATAAATTAGTCCCTCAATTTCTGTGTTTGATGGAGAAATACAATGCAAGTTGGATAATTTCTCCCATTTTACAGGTAAGTACAGTGAGCTGAGGAGGTGGGTTGAAGTGGTTCAAATACTAGCTAATTAATTTGGTTCAAATACTAACTAAGATGATGGGATCAGAAAAGCTTTGGATCCTTTAAGGAAGCGTTTGTTTTCAGAGCTTGAGTGGGTCCTTTAATCCCAGTCTATGCAACATGCATTTCTGGTTCTTCAGATTCAGTTGTTTTTTGATGGGGACATTGAAAATTATGAAAGCTCAATTCATGACCTTAAAGTTTGGCAACATGGTCTTTTCTCATTTTGTCAACTTCATGCAAGATTCTGGTTTGACAATACAGATGCCCATCACCTGAAGAATGGATAAACAAGATGTGGTATTTTTACACAGGACAGCTATAAAACAGGGTAAATTTGTGTCTTTTGTCGGTAAATGGATGCAAGTAGAGAACATACTCAAGTGAAATATATCAGACTTGGATGTGCAAGCATCATATTGTCTCCTTAGTGTGAGAACCTGGAAGAGAAAAATGGAATCTGAAGGGTACAATAGATACTGGAAAAGGGAAATGAATTTATTCAGAAGGAAAGAGTTACTGAATTGAGGAGAAGGATAGGAGAGGGAATGAGGGAAAGAGATGTATCTATGTATGTAAGAAGGATGGTTTGGACAGCTGTACTGTGCATTTCTGCTGGTCTATGGAAAGAAGCAGTCAATGCTCTATTTTTTTCATCTCTTTTTTCAATTTTACTTTTTCTCTCCTTAATTTCTTATGCATTTCTTTCTTTTTTTCTTTCTTCCAATTTTACATGCATATATCTGTTAATATGAATAACTGGTTGGAAGACAACATTATGTATTACAATAAGTGTAGTAAAATTCATATTACTTTGTTAAGTGAAATTCTGTATCATTTTCACAGTGGGTCAGATTTGTCAGGCAATTTTTCATCCCTGATCTAGCATAGGATGACTTTACACATTTGTCATCAGCATTGATTCTATTCATCAGAAAGGTGACGTGCATGCAGCAGTGGATTATGATGGTTTTCAGGGTTCATCCTGAAGCTGAATCTGCTTGATTCCACAGACATTCTACTGGAAAGAACTTAGTCATAGCATTGGCCTAATGGTAAATAAGGCTCGATGTCTGTCAGAGTAACTGGGACAGATTTTAATGAACAATTCCTATGCCACAACAAATCTTCTAAATCACAGATTTTATGTTAGCATTGTTATTCTAACATACAACAAAATGAACTTGGAACTCTTACATAAATGATGTGAAGTTTGCCTATGCACCACCTGAAATGATCTTGCATGACTCCAGGAAGTATATTATACCTTCCTAACCTTTGAAATCCTTTCATTCAAATCATGAGAACCTGATTATGAAACCAGTTCTTATTTCCTAAAGATGCTTTATAAAGGTTTTAGCCAACCTTGAAAAAAATGGAGATTATTTGGAATCATATATAAAACTGTAGACTTAAGAAATGTAAAATGTATTATAGTCTGGAAATGTCTCAGGAAAACTCAAACTGTAGATTATATTATAAAAGTAAGGTGAACATGGTAATCTCAGTATAAAACTTTTGTGGATTTTCTTGTTCTGGGAATTATCAGTGTCCATGTATGGTAATGCTCAGAACTGTACCTCAAGTCTCTTGATGGTGCTGGTCAAGAGTTGGGCTGGATTTGGAGGAGCTGAGAAGAGTGGACATGAACAGGCATTGGTGCAGTGCATGCCTGAAGGCTTCTTGGGGAGTACAGCTGAAGCAGCAGGGCTAACAGTGGGCTGAGGGATTAAACACCAGGCTATTAACCAACTTTCTACCCAGACAATGGGGTACCATCAAAAGATTTTAATCCAGGACAGTACAAGATGAAAGGACATTTCTAAAGGTAGAATATAGCAGAACCAGGCAAGTCATTTGGAGCAACTGGATTCAGGCAAGAAATCCTCCTTAGCACTCAGGAAGGTAAAAGATGAACTGGCTTTTACATACACAGTTAAGTCCTCTGTGTGTAAAAGCTTGTCCTTTTAGGTTTGTAAAAATCTAGCAAGAATGAATGGCACACACTTTCCTACAAGGAAGACTGCACAGTTTGTCCCTAACTCCAGGACCTATTGTTACTGGTCCTCTGCTTTCAAAATAAGAACTTTAGTCTATTCCATATACTTTTAGTTGACATTCCAGATACATTAGTTTATTGCGTTTCTACTTGATATTGTACATGCAGGCCCAGAGTACAGCAGGGGTGAGGAGAAGGTTTGGTATGTTTTTGTGTGTGTGTGTGTGGGATGACTTCTTACATATTCTTTCCAGCCTACCTACTGTTTTTCAAGAGTTCTTCAAGGTACACATATACAGAATGACACTTCAACAGACAAATAGGATGTACAACAGGATATGCACATTTAAATCTAATACACAAATTGTATCTGTTGAATATACTAAGGCTTTTACAACTACTACTTTAAAAGTACTGCTAAGTATTGGCAAGATTATGAAAAGCACAGTCTTTTGTCATGTACTCCTTAGGCCCACAACCTCCTAAAGGAGAGGACAAAAAAACTTAAGTAAGAGAGATAAATGAGATGATTTTGTGGTTCCAAGGAGGCTAAAACCCTCTAGTGGAACTGGAAATTCCCTGGGGGTTGAGAGAAAGAACTTCTCCAGACAGTAAGTATGTATTTGGTTTTCAAGCATTCAAGGAAGCAGATACTGAGGCAGGAGCAGGTGCTGAGAAGAACCTGGAGAGTTAACTCAAAGACTTATCCAAGAAGTATATTTTGCCAATTAACAGAACTGTCTTATTTCTAAGGGTTACAGCTTTAATGCTCTGGGATAGGGGGGTGTCAGCAGCTCATGTTCTTGGCTGTCTCAGCCTGGTGTTATCCTGACCTCAGAGCACTATTCATGTGGGATTTCCCAGCACAGCCAGAAGTCCTTGTGTTCAGCAGCTCAACCCTCTACAGCTCGGTCTCCAACAGTCTTGGGGGACAACTTCTAGGCTGTATCTTATCACTTAAAGTAGTTTTCTGCTCCTTTTAAAATTAGGTATGTTATAGATTTTCCTTGTTGTAATTCTTTGGAACATGGTCATTTATTTATTTATTTATTTATTTAATAATTTTTATTTATTTGAGAGAGAGAGAGAGAGAGAGAGAGAGAGAGAGAGAGAGAGAGTGTGTGTGGTGTGTGTGTGGCCAGCTCAGCCCACCAGGGGGCGGGGCTGGCTGGCATGTGGTGCTGGGGGATTGAACCGCGGTCCCTGATGCTTTGCTAAGCTTGTTCTAAGTAGGTGCTTTAGACCACTGAGCCATCTCTCCAGCCCCGGAACATGGTCATTTAATTCTTTGGCAGATATATGCCAATAAATTGAAAAACCTGGAAGAATTGGACAAACCTTTGCAGAAATATGACTTACAAAAATCAAACCCAGAAGATATTTTAAAAAAACCTAAGTAGACCAAGAACAAGTAATGAGATTGAATCAGTAATAAGAAGTGTCACTCATTTAGTACTCTCTCTCTTCCTATTAACTGTTCCCTGTCTCTCTCCAGAGCATCTGACAGATATCTACAGAGAATCTTTCAAAAGTGTAAGCACTTCCTTGGGCTTATGATTTCCAGATATCTTAAATCCACAGATATTTTATGGTGCTTTTGTGGATTTTAGCACTTTGGTAAATGCTTTAGAGGAACTCTCCTCACATATATGATGACATCTTCTGTCTGCAGGTAGAAAGGGAGCCATCATGCACATCCTGCTTTTCCTCCAAAAGGCTTGTTTTCCTTCGAATTCAGGGTCATTATTCCCCAAAACTACCCTTGCAGAGACATCTTTCTGGGTTGGTGTTTGTTTTTTCATCCTTCTCTACTGGAGAAGGGTGGTTCATCACTACTCCAGGACAAGACACTGATTTTGTCTCAGTTCTTAAATTTATTCACCGAATTGTGGCTACAAGTAAAATATTCCCTTTCCCTGGACTCTGCACACCCCTACCACACAATTCTTGCACCTCCATGAGGACTGCCTCATTAGCCTACCAACACCCTTGGTCACATATACCTGTCTTAGCTCTCTGAAAAGGCTGGCTGGGCCTCCTATTCAGAGCTCAGTGTGTTCTTTCTGGGATGGCTTCATCATTGCTTCCTTGGCCCAGAGCTCAGTCCAGAAAACCATTTCCTTTTCTTTCAGCCTCTGAGCTGCTTGGGTGGTGGTGCCAATCTGCAGATATCCTTCCTTTTGGTCATACGTTGGCCAATGGGGCAAACCCTCCCCGTTGGGGTTCCTAGGAATAGAACAAAACAGAAATTCCCAAAACTGTTGCATGCTTCCCACATTTGCCTGAGATTTAAAGGGAACCCCTGGTTTATTTCTACAATTATTCATCTATTTCCAGACATGAGAAGCACCCCCTTCTGTCATAGTCAGAGTGTTATGATTACAGGGTCAGAGGATTCAGTCACTCAGATTCCTAAAGCTACCCTTTCGTGATAGATAAGTTACACCCTAACCTCCAATCCTGCTACTTCTTTGCCATTAGCCTTACCCATTGCGAGCAAAGTTGGCCCAGAATTTCATCATCATTTTGCTGAGGTTGGCTTCCTCTTCTGAGGCACCCTCTATGGGGAAAGAAGAAGAGAAAAGGAGAAGAAGGAACACTTTGACTCAGAGTGTGACTTATGGAATTGCAGAGGCACAGCCTGAGCTGAGAGATGGTCACAAATGCAGTCTTGACCCTCACTGCATAACTACTGATCTGCACTGCAAGCAGATCCTGGTTGCCTGGTGGCCCTTTCACCCAGAGGATGAGGATCAGCAATGGCTGTTTAGTCTTTCAATGAGTTACCTGCCTTCACCTTCTCTGCCTACTTGCCCTCTCTTGTTCCCTCAGGACCACAATGCTATATTCCAAAGTTTCTTCTGATTTTCAGGATCTCTAGATTTAAGCATTTTCTCTTCTCCTATATGCATTTACATTTCCACAGATTCCAAAAAAACACCAGAATTGCAAACTTCCTAAGGAGCCACCCATCTAGAAGGTGCCCAGAGATACTAGGGTGCCATGCACAGCCATGAAATAGGACATAAGTAAGACGTCACTAGTAGAAGGCATTGAAGGCATTTATAAAGATTTTCTTCAAGTATTATAGTTTTAAAAAGATTTTAAGTTTGAAATATATTGAGCTTTATATCTATTGGAAGGTTAACTCATAAGACATATACATTTGACACTCCATTCAAGGTTAGCACCAATTCGGATCTTCACTTACATTCTGATACTTTTTGTGAGTTGGAAATCATAAAGTGGCCTGTGTTACTGATATCACAGATCAATGCTAGAGCAACAGTGCCTGAGGGCTTAAGGATGTTCTATCTCCCTCATGGGTATTAGAGATGAAAAAGGCTTGGTTTCTGTTCTATGTAGTTCAGTCCTCTGACAGTGACTCCAGAAAGTAAGATCTAGAGAAATAGAGAAACTTGCCACCAAACTATGCCTGAAATTCAGGCCTACTAATTCTATGCTCACATCTACATCACAGCCAACCAAAGATAATTACTTTTTGTGTGTGTGTGGCCAGCTCAGCCCAGCCTGGGGGTGGGGCTGGCATGTCATGTGGTGCCAGGGATCAAACCATTATCCAAGCACACTTGCCTAAGCTTGCCTAAGCAGGTGCTTTAGACCGCTGAGCTATCTCACCAGCCCGATAATTACCTTTTAAAAATGGAGCACCAAATACTGAGAAGATCTCATCCCCATGGTCTCCTATCACCGTCTTGGGTCTCATGGTTGATGAGAAGCTTGGGCGATACTGGAACTCATACATGTAGGTGGGGGCTCCAGCATCTGAGAAGACATGGGCCATACACAGTTTACGTTATCAGGACCACACTGGCATGGTGTCATTGTCACCAGTTGTGTAGGAAATCCCTGGTTCATAGCACAGTAGAGAAACAGGATTTCTGGACAGGCTGATTCCTCGGTTGCATAGCAAGTTGAAGTGGAACTGAGAGTGAGGCCAGATGCTTACTGAATGACAAAATGAATGAACACAGTGTGTCCAATTAACACACTGAGTGTGCTTCGTTGGTAAAACACTAGTGTTCCTTCATTTCAAGGTTATCTACAACGTAATTTTTTTTTTTTTTTCATCTTACTTTAGGTAATTCTAGGATTTTTTTTCCTCTTGCTCTGAGAAGAGTGAAGCAAATCCAAATGGATTGTCTAAAAATGAGAATCCTTACATAAAAATGCATGAAGAGATGAACTATTCTATGGTCATTGTGTTTTAAGAAATCACAAAACTCAGGGTGACAAATACTGAGAAGATCTCATCCCCATGGTCTCCTTGCATTTCAGGTACAGCACATACCTACTTTCTTGGCCTGGAGAGTGTTAAAAGATGGAAATAAGCTGATGTCAACAAAGAAAAACAATAAGGGAAAGTAAGCTTATACCTCTCTTCTCTTTCCTGTCATACCACCCCAGCTCTAAAGACATGAAGTCTGAGCCCCAACCATGTGCCCATTTTCCTGTTGGTTTGATCAAATGAGCCTCCAGTGCTTATTCCTTCAGTACTAACTCAGGGACCACTAATCTAAGAACTTAAAAATGTGAGTTTAATTTCAATGCCCACAGAGAAGAGACAGGTTCCAAATTAGACTAGTGGGAAATCATATGGTTTTACTCTGTCAGATACACTAGGAAAATTGGAAAAAGCATAAAATGCAAAAACAAATGAAAAAAACCAACAGTTATAATCCTACCACTTAGAGATTTTTTTCTATATACTAGGATACATGATATTTATATAAATATTGTGATAGTAAAGTATATATGCATTTGAAATATCTTCAATTATCTATGGCCATACCACCCTGAACATGCCCAGTCTTGTCTAAATTATCTTCAATCATCATTTCATACCATTAGATAGTCCATCAAATAATTATTTTTCAATATATCATCCCAACATGAGAAAGAACAGTTTCTTTAACCAGCTCTTTCAGTTTCTGTGATTTTACACTTGGTCCTTTAAAAAGTATCATTTGGATGAAGCAACCCTTCCTGACTCTGTGATCCACTTACTAAACAGCTTCTTTGAGGTCAAGCAAAACATGAAGAATGAAGGGTTTAGCCTTACCTCTGTCACTAAGATATTTTACAAAGGATCTCAGAATGTGACTAACATGGAAAGTACTTTTGTGAATGAGAGAATTTATTCTAATCACCTTTTTGCCAAAAGTATTGTTTTTGTTCTTTTTGCCTAAAACCACAGAGATTTTAAAAATCCTTAAAATAACAAGTAAGTCTTCAAAAGTCATGTATTACCCCACTTGACAGAACCTGCCTGAAAATGGTCTCAACACAGGATAAGCTAGAGAGATTGAAGCCATGTCAGTGGCACAGATGGGCTCCCCTATTGGTTGCTGGGCCTGGGACTCTAGAGACCTGGATTGTTTGGCTTATGGCTAATAAATTCCTTTTATTCTTAAAAAAAAAAAAAAAGAAGTAGGACATGGATTTGGGAGATTGAAGTTAGAAACAAGAGATATAGAGACAATGGGACATCATGGAAGGACCAAACATTTCCATAACAAGAACAGCAGCAGAACAATAAAGGGGAAATGGGACAGATGACACATTTCAAGGCATTGGGGGTGAAAACTTTCCTAATCTGAGATACATGTGAACATCTATGTATAGAAAGTACAGACGTCCCCAGCTAATTTCAAACAAGGCATAAAATAATCAAACATTCAAAACTTAAAGACAAAGAAAAAAAATCCCAAGAGCATCAAGACTTAATAAGCAAGTCATAGAGCTCTGGACCACAAGCCACTTCCTGCCTTGAGACTAGGTGAATGAGGACTGGTAGTCCTAGGAGACTTCCCAAAAGGTGACCTGATGGGACACTTCATTCAGGGACGTTCACTAATCTTTAATCTCACACTCCATCTGCATATCTTTAGTTCAGTGATAAAAGGTCCTTTGAATGGTCCCCAGGTGGCCTTCAACCTGATGCAAAGTACACACCCAGACAGACACAACTCAACACAGAGTGGGAATTGCTAGACTCCCCTGCCCTGCATCTCCAGTGCCCCCTTTTAGCATTCTCATTCATGGGCATTCTTACATTGGACCCCTACACTTTCACTAGATTCAGCAGTTAACAATCTTTTCAGAACTAATGCTGCCTCTGAACACACTTCAGGACCCACCATCTCATGCTTTCATTCTGAGTTCCACGTACCAGCATAACCACAGAGAAGGAGCTTAGTGGAATATTTTATAGGTGCTTTGCTCATAATCCCTGACTCTGGACAAACCAACCTGACTGCCACCTCCTTAAGCTCTTTGCTTAAGCTTTTATTTGACTATCAGAAACTACTCTCCCATGTTGGCAGCTGGTCAAAGCAGCAACACCTACGGACAATCTATCGCTCTCCAGATCCAGTTGTTGATAGAAGAAAGGGGATTTCACTGACCTTCTCAGGCCCAAAAGCTACAACTCTTGTTGCATAGGTCCTGCTTTCCTTGGTCTTAACCATCCAGTAGAAAAGTATGAAGATGAAATATAGGAAGTAAAGCTATGCTGTTATGTTGAGCTGTGGGGGACTCAGGTCAACAATTTCTGACATTGCCATTTAAACAGAAGACTCAATACTATTATGGGCTACTGGGCTCTTTTAGAATATTTTGCTGAGTTTACACGCCTGTAATATTCAAATAACGGAGCTTAACAAAAAAAGGGTATACAGATGAATGTCCATTTTGTATCTGTGTATTCAAAGTGGTTAGGATAGATATATAGTTACATTCTCTTAATGAATAGCATGATTTGTTTTAATGGTGTTTGTAAATAGGATCTCAAGTCCGCATCTTGTAAAGCAATTAACCACTAAGAAGAATGCATGCAGTGTGTTAATTATTGAAACTGTCCTAGCTATTTGATTTGAAACTGTCTCATTGCTATTTGTTTATCAATAAAATTATGAAAAAAATAAATAAAAATAAATAAATAAGAAACTTGCTTAGAAGCACATGACTGGCTTCCTCCGTCACCTTCTCACCTCCATGCTTGTGTTTTCTTGAATCCCCTCAAAAACAAATTCCTTGCACTTGGATTCTCAGCATCTACTAGTGGCAGGCACCAAAATACAATAGAGCCTCTCCCCATGTCTAGCAACATAGACTCTGCCTTTCAGGCCTGACTCTTAGCAGATTCCAATTGATCTAGGGTGTGTAGAGGTGGAGACAGACCATAAAGTTGGTGACCCAATATTCTTCTCCTGTCCAACTTCTAGGACTTACCTCTGTGGCCACGAGCCACAGTCACAGCAGGCACCCCAAACACCACATCTGCAATCAGGTCCAGGAATAAGTCTTTCTTTTTTAAAAGATCATCTGTCCCTCCTAAATACTTCTCAGTGACCACTGGAACCAATTCTTCAGGGATGCTCTGAAATGCACCGAGAAAGTGATCATGCTTACCTGGTGAGTAATGTGACTTCCTGAGGCAGGAAGAAAGACTTCCTTGATGGTGAGTCTTTCTAGTCCTGTGAAAATCCCTCCAGGGATGGTAAAGAGAGAAGGGCAGAAAATGAAGATTAAACCTCAGATCCCATGTGTTTCTTCAATTGAATTTGGGCAAGACCCACAACCTTCACTAATGGAGATCAAGCAGTTTCCACTGATACCTTAGACACTTACAAGAATGGAGTAGGACTTCCACAAAAGTGATGCAGCAGTGTGTTCATCCAAATTTCCTTCAGAGATTGGATAGCCCATAATCTGTTTAAAAAATGGTCAAGTATTTTCAATTCATGAGAACTAAATAAGAACCAATCAGTACAACCAACCAGACCAAAAGAGAATGGAGATTCTTTATTGGTCTCTGATAGGCTCAAGTCTTTTAAGAGTTTGAAAAATATAAATTATGAGAATAAATACATGTACAGACAGAACATCAAGGAATACAAAGAAGACATCATCAATACATAATATTTACCACAAGGGGACTCAACAGTTACCCAAGTAATAGGGAAACATTTAGGTCAGGACATTATTGAAGCAGACGGCTTAGGGACAGAGGACACTGACAGTATTCCACAGGTACAGGTGATTGAGGAAAACACAAATCAATCAGTATAAGTTTATTCCTGTGAATAAACAGAAGGATGTGATCTGGCATCCTTCTGAAGTGAGACACCCCTGCTAAAACCTCTGCACTCATAGACTTGATGTAATTCTTGCCTAGAGAAGATCTTAGAGAAGAAAAGACTCATAGCATCAGAGTTGATAGTAATTCAGGAGATGGGAGTGCAACTGTCTTGGAGGTTTATGCATTCTTACCATTGGAATGATCCAGCCAAACTCTTGTTTGTTGATTCCGACAATGTAGGGGACAGTGTGGAAATTCTTTTCCTCCAGGATCTCTTTAGGCGTCTTGGGTAGCACAACTCCATCAGCTACAGTGGGCATGAAAGAATGGCCCTGGGAAAGACAGCAGCACGATGCCTGTAACTACCCTGCTCATGTAAGACCTGTACCCCTCTGTCTGTCTGAAGTCTTCACCAGAGGACACACTATGGCTGGGAATGGAGTTCCTGGAGGACTCAAGTTCCTAACGAGAGGGTCAAGAGGCATTAGCAGTAGTAAATGGTGATGGTGGGACAACGGAAAAAGAAATCCTCACCCAAAGTAATACATGCATCAGGTATAATACATATTTTAGTTTTTAAAATATGTATAAGGTATGATCAAACTATATGGTGAATGTTTAAACAGAAAATGTTATTAAAGTACAGATACCTTTCCATTCATCCCCCTCAAAGCACTTTAAACACACTTATCCCATCTTTCTTGTCATTTTCTGAAGCAGTTCTGGAAGTCTTTCATGAGTGTCTTCAGAAAATGTGATAAAAATCAGTGACTTGTATGATTCTGGTGGAAAGGCAGACTCATAAAAAAGGTTGTGACCTTACCTATTTTATTTGCTAGATCTGTCAGGCTACTTGTTCTTTCACAAACCAAAATCACAATGAAATGTAAGCATTTTGAATAGATTCAGGACTTCAAGGCAGCTACAACAGTACAGCTATAGACTGAAAAGGGTAATTCCAGAACTTTGCAGAAAGTGGGAACAACAAAGTGTGTTCGACGCTAAAAGGAAGTTTTAAAGGGAGATTAATGCCAAGCTGTCTTTTAGTGTAATAAGTTTTAAAAATTAGACATTCAACTTACTTTTCTATCACAGATCATCAATTTTTGTTATTTATAGTAATTAGCTCTACAGTTGTAGTGAATTCATTCTGGATCAGAACATTTTTATTACCCTTGATTTATGTGTGGCTTGATACTTAAAAGTCACTTTTTGAATATGATGACCTTCCTAATAAATTAGTTATACTACATATAGTAAAACATCAGCCAGAAAGAGCTTAATATTGGCCTATCCTTGGGTAACATAATTGTGAATTTCTTTGGCTTCAGCTTCACAATAATGCTGAACCCTCTGCTCTCTAAAAATTCACCATTTTATGAACCCATAATTTTAGCTGCTTTTCCAACTTTTTACAGCTGTACCACACATTATCAACATTATATTAGCACTTTTTAGAGTGGTTTCACAAAATACAGATAGGCAAGCCCTTCTTCTTTGGGATCTGTTCTGCCTGAGCCAATTAACATTGAACTTGTACCTGAGGGCACAGGACACAGCCTGCAGGAAGTGTATCTGTCATTGTACATTCTCTGTAGGGCACCTCACAGTCACCTGTGCTTAGCAAAACCACATTTATGTCACAGTGCTCATGAGACATTTTACACAGAGAAATCATTAACAAAAATCCAAAACTTAAAAAAAAAATACAAGATAGCAAATAAATGACAAAAAAGGCAATAGTTACTTTGGAGTAAATGTATGAGGCAAAAGACTCAGTATTTCTTCATTTGACTTAGGAGGGTACCTGGGAATCACATGACTCAAGCTCTTTACTTTGGGAATGCGTGGGAAATGAACACTGTCCTACACAAACACTAATATCATAGTGGCAAACACATTAGATAGAGTAAATGAATTCATGATACAGAATTCTTGATTACTGCAGTTTGACTATGAGTCTATAGATATTTAAATTTAGTTATATTTTTTCTTTTTTAAAGAGGATAAAAAATGTAACAAAAGGTGAAAGAAAACAGAAACTATACAGAATTTCAGTAAAGCAAATAATAGGAATTCAACAACGGCTGTTATATTGAATATTCTTATCTTCAAATCAGTTGTTCAGATTACTAGATAGAAGCACGCAAAATTGGTCAAAAAGTTATAAAACATTAAGAAAGTGAGAGGAAAAAATTAAGTTTTGACTGCTCCTTTGAATAGAGCAGCAGCAGAAATCAGTAGTAAAATTATCCAAAAGTCTTTTTTTTTTTTCATAAATGGTTAACTTTGAGGAGTTATTGAAGACATCACTCAAAGAGCACAAGCTGAACCATGATGCCCTATTTGAGAGAAATAAAAGATCAATACAAGGGCCAATTCCTGATGTGAAAGGCTGGCAGGACAGAGCATGCTCTGGGTGCAACTTCTGGGATTGTTGACAGGGTGTGCACTTCAGAGAGGCCTGCCCTGGGCGGCAGTGGGAACAGCTGCTCACCTGAAGGAAGATACAAAGCAGATGACACGGACCTAGGGCTTGGCATCTGTCATGGGTTCTGGTAATCAAGGCTACTAGTCCTAAAAAATGGGTGGAAATTTCAAAACAGTGGGAACAATATGAGCAAAGGGACAGAGACATACTTGCAGGGCTAATTTCAGGAATTTTGGGGACCTTAGGATTGCATGTATGCCTCTGGGCAAGGACCAGAGACAAGGCCAGGTGGTGAGGCACATTTTCTCCATGTCTGATATGTCACTAGCTTTCAGGTAGTTTTTGAAGAGTTGCTTCAGTGCAGGCAAAGGGATTTGTCTTGTAAGCAAGGGCAGGCTCTTAAGAGAGGAAACGATATACTCTAACTTGTGTTTAGAAGGGTGAGTCTGGGGACACCAGGGAGCATGTAAGTAAGGTAGGAAAGAGAGGGTAAAAGAAGACAAACATGGGGGCCTGAGTTGAGCAGCATCCATGGCACCGTGAGAATGATAGTGATTGCAGCTGTCCTCACTGAGATACTGGCAGCTCACCCATGATGCTATACACATTGCTTGTTTGTGTCAGAAAAGTCAGGATTTCTTCCTCTTTTTTCAGAGTCCACACCCTATCAATAAGGCCTGTCAACTCTTTCTTAAAAAGCACCAAACTACCCACTTCCTCCACTCCCCTACTCCAGCCCTCATAAAATGCTCCAGGATACACTTTAAGCAGATTACTGTAGTGCAGTGGCCCCCCAGTTGGTCTCTCTGCATCTGTCTTGTCTTATCCCTCCTGTTTAGTCCACACAATAGTCAGCGAACTTTGTGTAGTCTAAGATCACATCTGTGTTTTGCAAGGCCTTCTGAACTCATCCACCTCATTCTGGACACAAGCTGCATCCATCCAGTGACCATAGCCCAGCTCTCCAGGACCTCCTGTCTCCAGCCTGCCTCCTCTGCCTCCTGCCCAAGCACACTGGCCTCCTGCATCGAGGCCTTGGCATCTGCCCTTTCCTCCATTAGGAATCCTCACTCTTCCTCTAGGTTTCCTGTTTACATCCACACCAATGCCCACTCTGTCCCATTTTCATTTTCACTTTTTCCTTTGCCCTGATCATCTCAAACACACCATGTAATTTACTTATCTGTCTTCTAATACACTCCCTCCAGTTTAATGGAAAAATTCAAACAGTGAGGATTCTTTTCTATTTCATCATTTATCCCAGCTACTAAATCAAGTCAATAGTTAATGCTTATTAAACCTTTTCTGGATGATGAAATACATAATTTTAACCTTACAAAACCTTTAAGGGAAGTGCTAAGACACTCAGGGGAGGGACAAAGAGAATTGAATTGTAAGACACAACATAGCCAATCTCACCAAACCCTGGAATCTGTGGGAAAGTGAGAGTTATAGGCAAAAGAAGATGACGTTTACTGTGCATTGGGAGGAGGGAGGATGGTATTCACAGGGCCGAGACTCTCCCTACCCTGTATTGTCTCAAGAGACTTTCATTCCTCATGGAAGGTTTCTGAGCCTCCTATCTACTTATCTCTGCCTCCTTAGAGTAGATGGTTCTAGTCTCTTTCTACTGAGCCATTTTGGGAGACAGTAGTAAGGGAGAAAGGGGGAGGAAAAGGGAAGGGGAGAGGGAGAGGAGAGGGAGGAGGATAAAGGGATTGAAAGAAACTAGCTAAGACCTTGAATACAGAATTCCTAACCAAGAACACTGGGCTAAGAGTTAAGGAGCCAATTCCAACCTTACCTCTGGTTCTCCTGATGTGTTACTTTGGTAAATTACATCCCCTGACTGGAACCCAGCCATGTACACACAAGGAGACTATTATTTGTTATTTCACAAAGAACTCATTTACTTCTAGTGAATAGATTCTTCAAGGTGTTCAGATTAACATTGTACAATCAAGAAGGCAAAGATTCTTACCTCTCTGGGGTCACCAAAAAGATCCACACTAAAAAAATTCTGTGAAGAGAAAGAAAGAAAATGTGGTGAGTACCTTCCTGGGATTAAAGCTGTTCCTTTGAGCTGTGTCTGATAGGTATCAGATTCTCGGTGCCTCCTTGTCTTGTTCCAAAAGAAGGGTATGATAGAATGACTCCAATGGGCATGAGTGTAAGGTTGAAGAGTAGGACAGGGAGCCTCAGGCACTGGCAAGAAAAAGTCAGGCTCTGAAACCTAGAGTCCAGGCCACTGGAGCTTTGGGGATGAAGTCTGTGGTTGGTATTTGCCCTCCTCTTCATTCTTTCCCTTAACAGTATCTGCCTCATTCCAACACCCAGAATTTCATCATGGAGAAAGTTTGCAGTGAGGTGCTCACAGTGGTGAGAAGGCCATCTCTTTGGGGGGAATATGGCTGGGTGTTTATTAGAGCTGCAGGAGACAGAATTCCAATCATCCTGTGACCTCACCTCCATTTCCTCCTCCCCACATCCACTTCTTGAATTCAAGCATCTCAGGTCCTCATGTTCTTGAACAGAGAGATTAATTCAAGGATGGACCCATGCTAGTGTTGGTCCAAAAGTCTTCATGTCAAAAGCCATTACTAAAATTCTTGAGATTATATATGGTTTTTAAGCAGATAGAGTGTTGCTCGCTTCAACCTCCCCAGGGCACAGATCTGGCCCAGAGAGAAGCTAATAAAGAAAAGAAAAGATAAGAGATAAAGACAGGTAGATTCTCAATAAAATCTTCAGAATATCCAGATCCATAAATGTCCTAACCCATCTGTTCCTGAACTTCTCAGTTACCCAAAGTCTCTGTTACAATAGATTTCTTTTTTTTCTTTAAGATATCTTGAGTTTTCTCATCCTGGATTACAAAATCCTGGCATCTCAGAGATCAGTGAAAGTCAGTACAACCTTTGTTTGCTGTGCAATGATTGCAATATGACACTACACTTAGCAGAACTGACCTACGAGAGGTAAATAATCACTAGAGATGTTATTTATCATCAGATGTAACATTATGTGTGAGGGGCTTGTTCTCTGGTTGCATGCCGGGCACTGGACAATCATGGAAACACTTCCACAAAAACCTCAGAAAAATCTCAAAGTATGCTCTAGTATCACAGGTTCTCTGGGTTTTCCCAGAGTTACCTATAATTTCCATATAAGGTGTTACACATGCAGAAGGACTAAAATATTTGTACCTTTTCAGGTATTAGAAAACAGCTGTGTGAATATTTTGATCACCGTATTTAAGCCTGATGAACCAAGACTGAAGCCCGAAGCCCACAGTGCATGTGAATGCAGGAAACAAATAGTGATAGAAGTTTGTTTTGAGGATCCAAAAGCATTGTCCATTGTCCAAAGTCCACATGAAAAGATTAGGGTCTCACATGACTATCTTCTTCTGGGAAGTAATTCCCATGAGCCCCAGATGACCTTTTTTCTGGACGGTTGTCCTGAAAAGCTTCCCTTTAATGACCAACTGCCCTGGCTATTCATCAGTCCTCAAGTGTTATTTTTCCTGAGTAGTATCCCTATTGGTGGTAATGACTATGTCCCTTCCGATGAGACCAACATTTCACTGACTCGTTCATTGATGAATGAATACAACGATGGGTGGATGGAAGGATAAATGAAGGTTAGATGAATTGAAGGAGTAGGTCAATACAGATATTATTGGTGAGTTGAATGGACACAAGGATAAAAAGAAAGAGAAAAGCTAATGGGTGGAGAATTTTTATCTTTTCTTTTTTTGTGGTTGGCTCAGCCTGCCCTGAGGGCAGGGCTGGCATGGCATGTGGTATCGGGCATCAAACCATAGTCCCTGCAGTTGCCTAAGCTTACCTAAGCAGGCACTTCAGATAGCTGAGTTATCTCACTGGCCTAGGATTTTTATCTTTGTACCACTATGTAAAGGAGTACAGATAGATGCAAACTGGATGACTTATGGATCATGATGGATTCAAATAGAGGAATAAAACATTTTATATTGATAATAGATTAAGGAAAAAAATCAATGAATGTGATGGCTGGATTACAAATGAGTTAATGTGGAAATAGAGTTAATGTGTGCCCTGGGGAGGATTACAAATGAGTTAATGTGGCTATTCTTGAATCCTGAGGCAGAATGTCAGAAATTCTAGGCTCCCTCTATGGAAATTTAAATATTTTCTAAGCCAACCAAAACAAATTGTGACACATTTCTGAAAACTTCTGTACTTAATGGTCTCAACTCACAAATTCAGGATGGTAGAGATGTCTGAGAATATAGAATCTTTATTTTTTTTAAATGCATCTGAAAACAAGAATATCAAAATGCTAAGTTTTGAAAGAGCAAGGAGAGTGTTACACATTTTTTTATCATGCTATTACTGGTTCTTTATTTAACACTTGAGGAATTTAAAAATAAAAAAGGAAAAACTAAAGTTCTCAATTCAGATCAAGAGGCCAATGCTGCCCAGGAGAGGTGAGCAATTCCCCAGGTGATTTGTTCAAGGTGAGAGGACCTGAATGGTTGAGGCCCAAAACCATGTGTGCAGACAGTGGGCTGCTAACATGGGCGCACCTACCATTTTCAAAGTTATCTCCAAGAGCTCATCTTCTGTCTTCTGGCGCAGGCAGTGCACCATGATAGCTGATGTGGTAGTTTTGCACCCAGCAGTAACAGCAATTTTCTGCAGAGATAACAGGCAAGAGCAAAGTCTATTGTTTCCCTCAACAGAGGCAGAGGGGTTCTCTCCCAAGTCCATTTTCTGAATGTTGTGGGGTAGTCACAAGTACTCCAGATTAGCAGGTGTGAATTCTGGGATTGCGTTTGTTATTAGCTAGGATTGTGAAATCATCCAGTTACATATTTGTGTCTCCATTATCTCAACTAAAATGAGCATAGTATTCTCAAAGTTTTCAAAGTCTCAGAAAGTCTGTGTGGACACGGTATGCAGGATATGGATACCAGGATTCCTCTGCTTGCAATTTCACCTCCTTTCCTTGTCATTTGGCCTTGATTTCCCCACCTACACATAAAAGCAATGACTGTATCTATGTTATCAAGAGAGTTAATACATGTGGCATACTTAGGGGGGCACCATCCCTTACACAAAATTTATCTGAAGGCACAAGAAGTGTGAATAAGATGATTCATACCAAGACTCTTCAAAAAATGTAGGATGGGCTTTAAACATGAGTCCTGAAGGAGCGCTTTTTGCTCACTCACCCTAACTCTGGTAATCCTTTCAGCAGCTCAGGGAATCCAACTACAGGAAGAGCCCCTGATGATTCCTTGAGAAAATAGGAAGAAGAAGGGTGTTGTGAAAGGTGAGACTTACCTTAGCCAAAGGCTTGGCGTTCTTCTTGAACAGAGCAGATAGGAGGGCCACGCCACTCTCAGAGATGGCCCTGTGGAAGAGGTTTTTGGCCAGGGGAGATAACACCTGGCAGGGGAGTGGAGAAGAGAAGAGGTTATACTCACAGGCAGGGGTCAGTGACTGACTTGCTCCTTAGGTTTCTCTCCACTTGCTCCTCTGCTATGCCCACTCAGGTGGAGACTCTGATGTTCTATGGACAAGACAGCTCCTCATCTATCCCTCTTGCTTCCCAGGACCCCTGTGGAGCCTGGCTTTCCTAAAAGAAGCTCAGCCAGAATGAAGCAGAGCTCAGGGTTCTTTGGGATAGAACAAGGAATAGAACAGGAAGTGTATGTCATGAGCTGTCCTGACAATCAAAAGGATGAGAACACAGCTTGGCAATTCCCAACAACAAACTTTGCCTCAGCATTTCTATTATTGAGTATATTGTAAGAAAAATAGCCATAAGAAGTTAGTTATATAGCTTCATGGTAGAGCTCTTGCCTGGCATATCTGATATCTGGGTTTGATCCAAATACTACCAGAAAACAAAACAAAAAAATCAGAAAGCAAAAGTAAAAACAAAATAAAATCTTGGAGGCACACTAAGATATTTAAGAATGTTTATGTTTGTTTATAATAGTAAATGTTGGAAAAATTCAAGGTTAAAATGAGATTGGTTAAGTAAATGATTTTTAATCCTTTGGAATACTATGCAATTATAAAAGATACTATACCTTAAGAACATTTAATTTTTTAGCATTTAGAAAAGCATTTATGCTATTCTGTAATAGTAAAGAAATGATTATCTTGTAACCAAAAAAAAAAAAAAAACACTAACATAGATTTATGACAGGAGAAAGGATAGATGAACACATGTCAGGTAAGTTAGATGGAGGCAGGCGGTGGGGGTAGAGAACTGTGACAAAATACAAAATACTATATAAATACATTTCAAAATATAGCAACTTAACTGAGCAGTAGAAATATAGGTTACTTTTTCCCCTTTCATGTTTATCTGTACTTTTCCTTTTACTCTAAAAAATACAAAACTGTGTTTGAAAAATAAAATCAGGCTCATCCTCTGCATATCTCTACATTAACTGCAAGTTTTCTTAAAGCTACAAGAACCTTCTATGACTTTTTCACAATGTCCCAAGTCATCCAATGTCCAGCACGTACTCTGACCCACATCCCCTCTCTCATCCATCCCTGCTCTACCTTGCATCTCTTCTTTCACTCACGTTCCCCAGCCCATTTTGTCCTTCAGTCTCAGAGACTGCTGAGAAACCATCAAAACACCTCAGAGAAAACCCCTAGCTGCTCCCAGAGCTCAAGTACCCTCAATATGGGGAATTCTTTTAGAGCAAAGTAATGACTCTTTATGCAACATGTCTTCTGGATTTTTCCTATTTGTAGTTTATACCCATCCCTTCCTCCCAAGAAACACATGTGAACTCTCATGAAAATAAAAGTGAATGCAGCCAAGTGTGAACAGGAGGAATTTGCTGCTACAGCATGAGCTGGAGACCTTTATGATGTCAGTACATTAGGCTGAACCCTGGGACCAGGGAGAGCTTGGGCCTAAGCTCTCCACAATCTGATGCTTTGCTGTAAGTAGAGTCAAATGCAACTCATGTTACAAGCAAACATGGTCATAGCTGGATTGGGTGGTCCCTAAGAGGTTCTATCAGATGACAATAAACCATGAGGAGGAATCTAGTTAGAGTACTTACAAGAACAGAGACACTTTGACCTCCTGCTGATTCTCCAAAGATGGTCACAGAGCCTGGGTTACCCCCAAAGTTGGCAATGTTGTCCTGTACCCAGCGCAGTGCAGCCACCTGATCCAAGTGACCCCAGTTACCTGGGCTGTGTTCATCCCCTGTGCTGTAAGAGAACAGGGTGGGAAGAAAGTGGGGATATGGTGACAGGGCTCTTCAGATCACATATTGGTCTGGACCTCTAGATGAGACTTCTAGATGAGGCCAAGCTGTACATCACAAAGTGATCTTCACCTATCCCGCAGTCCCATAACCCTATTCCCTGGGGGGTTCTACATGGATGTTTCCAGCACTCATGCTTGAGCACCTATGATGTACCTGAGAATGTCTGGAGAGTGAAAGTACATCTGGGTAGAGACCAGGCAGTCTCTCATTACTCACCTCACATAGTAGAGCAGAAACAAAGAGGTGAAAAGAAACTGTACTCTCAGTGAAAGTGCTTTGAACCAAGGATGATTAAACTAACAAAAGAGAAAAAAGGCAAGGATGGGACTTGGGGTGATAGTTTATGACTTGGGAAAGACGTTTTGTGTCACTGACTTTGGTAGAACCAAGAATGAAAATGAGCTTATGGGTTCTGTAAAGCACCAATGAAGGGAATTCTGGTTAAGAGAAGCAGTAAGTACATGGGCCTTGAGGCCAGGAAGGCAAATGTGCAAATGTAGCTAGTATGGCATGCAAATAGAGAGTATGTTGTGAGCTGAGACAAGGACTTTCATGTCATTTAAGTAACATGGCAACCTTCTGCAGAGGCATGACAGCACATCATTTTTGTCTTATTTGGTCATTCTGAATATGGCTTGGAAAAGCTCATATAAAAGCAGCAGGTTTATAAACACAAGAGGTCATAACATGATGAAAGGTAGATCTATGGGGCCTTGATTGGAGTGGAAGTAAAGAGTGGGTGCTGTGAAAATCTCATGGGCACAGGAGGAGAGTGCTTGATGAGGGAAAGGTGTTGGGGACAAGGGCTCAACTTGTGCCTCTGAAGTAGGAAGCACCTGTCTTGGTTATGCTTCTCTCATTCCTGGCATTCCTGGGACAAAATACCCAACATCCAAAATTAAGGAAGGAAAGGTTTATTTAGCTCACAGTTAGTGGAGGTTTCAGTCCATACTTAGCTGGCTCCAAGGCACAGTGGCACATGGCAGAGGACAGCAGTTCATGGCAGCAGAAAACAGCAAAGAGCAAAATGAGGAACAGTGGCTGTGGCAACTTGCTAGCCTGTCCCTTCTTCTTACACTGTCATGCAGATTATCTGCCTCAGGGTGAATGTAGCTCTCACACCCATTATACCAGCATTGGAACATGAATTAATCACAAACTCTAGAAGCTGTCCCATGACTGCATGAGGCTTTGGGGGGACAACTAGAGACAAACCATAACAGCACTATACAAGCATCCAGGGGAAAGTAAAAGATGAAAAGCTGGACACCTGAGTTTCAAAGGAGAGATAAGGGATTCTTATAGGACCCTGTGAAAGTGTTTCCTGGAAAACACAAAAGATGAATACTAGAGAGAGAAGTATAGACAGAGATCTAAGGATGAGGGAACAGTTAAAGGCTAAGAAAGTATTCTGGAGGTGGTCAGAGCCAGATGATGGGAGCATTTCTAAGAGGCTCGAGTGGCTGTGGAGGGTGCCGAGAGGTCCTGTACGGCCGGGCTGAGCACTGATAAAGGTCACTGTTGGCCTCTATAAGAACATCTTGACAGCCTGGTCAGTTGTAAAATGGCTGCACAAGCCCTCAATGCCTCCAGTGGGATGTCCCTTCCTTCCTTTCCCTGAAAAAATGTGCAACCTTTGACTGTTCTAATACACACTTAGTTTCTTCACAGAGGACCATAGTGTGCTGAGGCAGCTTGTGTGAAAGGAAATGAGTATTTAGATTTAGTAACATAAGGACTGGACCTTGCAAGATGAATAGGAGTTTGGCAGGCAGAGTTAGGCATTCCAGGCAGTGGGAGAAGAATACATAAAAGCTCAGAATCATGTGCACAAGGGTGTTTGGGGAACAAGAAGTTAGGTAGGCTCCAATAATGAAGGTATTTGGATGCATTATGAAGGAGTGTAAGAAAGGTGTCATGGGCACTGACATAAAAAGGGTGGTCTTGTGGTGGGTGGTGGATCTTTGCTGTGATATCCTATATGTCCCTATATGGTCTGTCCCTCAAGGATTCATGTGCTAGAACCTTGGTTACTCTTATGGAAATTGTATCTAATAACGGAACTTAGTGAAAGCTGATCAAGAGGGTGCTGTCCTCACAAGGGAATTGGCAGTAGCTATGGGCCCATGGCTGGTTTCCCAGGGAGTAATTTGTTATAAAAAGAGCTAGCTCTCTCTCTACTATTATTTTGCTTTCTTTGTGTCCATGTGATCTCTTCTGCACCACGTGGATTCTGTTTGTGTTTCTGTACCAGGTTTCAGTGTAGCCTAGGAGTTCTCAATAGGCTCATCTGATAAAACCTTCAAACCTTAGACTTGGAGTTTTTCAGATTCTGAGCAAAAGATAGCTGATTTCTTTAGAATTCCTCAAACTCAGGCATTTTATTTTATAATACAGACCACTAAATGAGCCATTATGCAGGAAGAATAGGTCAGGAGCTTACCTAAAGAATCCCCAGATGCCCAGCCTGTACTGAATGGTCACCACTACAACATTTTCATGGACTGAGAGAGGCACTCCATCATATGTTGATGCTCCTCCAATCACAAGACCACCTCCATGGATCCACACCATCACCTGGAGAAGGAGGATACAGCCACACTCTTTATAGTAAGCACAACTGGAAAGGTCTTCAAAGGTTGTAGCTTTGGTTAATTGTATTTTGGCTGCAATTCAAGGAGGGAGTTGCCTAATTCATTAGTGCCCAACAAGGTTGAAAAAGACCAGAGCTCCTCAGTTCTAGCATTCAATTCTTACTCTCTCCACCTCCTCTGCAGGCCAAGTCCTCCCACTTTCTTGAGCCCAGCTCATGTCCACCTTGTCCAAGAAACCTTTGCTCATTTAAATAATGCTGTGAACCTATTTTGTGCTAGAAACTGTGATAAGAATTGAAGATGAAAGGGGAATTCATGCTTCATGAGTTTTGGATAGAAAAAGCTCACACTACAGGAAAAATCTAGCTTGTATAAAATAATATCATAGTAATATTGCTAATAAAAAGTCATAAGATTAAATATCCATGAAGAGATGTAAGCACATTAGAATAACTTATCCATAAGGTAAGTGCTAATACTGTTCTATTTCACAGGAAAACTGAGGTAATTTATATGCACATGATTTTATACCTATTAATTAGCACCAGTAGGAATTAATCAGGCTGGCTCCAGAGTCCACATAATCAACTATGCACTCACTGTTGCCCATGTGCACAATGCTGCATCTAGGATGATAAGGCATAAAGAGAATCTTTCTACAGCTCTAACTAGTGTGACATTGGTGCTGGTCCTATGTACTCAGCAGGGATGAGATAAAGCTTGACAGTCCTCATCAAATGCTTACATGTAATTAATCACATTTGAGGAAACACAGGCTGAGAGAAGTAAAGAAATTGCCCAGGGCTCTCAGTTAGTCAAAGGCAAACCAAGGATCTAAACCCAGACCCTTAGTTCTGAAACATGTGCTCATAGCTGCAGGGATCTCCTACCTATAGGCTACTAAAGCCCTGCTTTCTTCTTGATGACTGATCATTGCCAGTGACTCTGGGGTAGACTGAGTTAAGATCATCTGTAACTGAAGGTTGAGCCCAAGAGCTCATAGGGAATGACAGGCTGACAAGGTAAAATGTGTCCATTCAGCGTAGGTGACAACCCCTTGCAGGCAGGGGCTGCACAGTCACAGTTTCAAGTTCCTCTTTCCCCAACTCCCAAGTCTAACTGTGTGCATAAGGACTTTGAGTACATAATAGAAGAATGAATGAACAAGCGATAATGGAAAATAATTTTTTTCCTCTCTTCCTTATGTTTTAGAAAATATGCATAGGGCCAAGTTCTAGTCCCAAGTTCACATCCTTTTTCTCCTTCTTGAGCTCCATGCCAGAGTACTTCTGGGGTACTGGCTGGGTGTAGACACCCTCCCTTTTCTTTTTGTATTTTTTTTAGGGAAGGGTCTACAGGGTGTTCAAGGTCTCACTACTAGATTGAATTCATAGTGATCTGCCTGTTTACCACCTCCCAAGAGTTTGAATTACAGACCCACACCACCAGGCCCAGTCTCAGGACCACCTCTTTTCCAGCATGCTCTGCCCAGTCCTCACCTATGGCCCTTTATTTGCTTGGGAAATGCTGACTCACTGGAGCCCCAACCTGTGCCAAAAGTAATTATGGAGGGAAATGAGTTAAAATATAACTCACAGTTAGCTAAGGTAAGGAAATTGATTCTGGGATTACCCAAGATGTGCCCCAACAACCTCTTTTATGGAACAGAGAAACTTTTCATTGGGCAAAGAATATTGCTCAATGTGTGGTGTGTACAAAAGTACATACTGTGCCATTTCTTACTCCATGTAAAAGAGCACTGGGTTACAGATAAGAAACCTAAGCTCTTGTATTGCTAACCCTATTGCGGGCTCTCCCTTCTGAATCTCTCTGACTCTCTGTTAATATTCTTCTTTCTCTTAGATTGCTTTGGCTCAAATTTTATTGTACATGCTCTGGGGATGAGATTCTTAATAAAGTATTTACAAGTAATTGCTCTTGTTCTTCTGTCAACATGAGAGAACTTGAAAAATTCAAGTATGCAGTCCAGCTGGACAGCAATCTCCCTGGATGCCTGGAGTCACTAAAAGAAAACAAGGTTAGGAGAATTTGTATTTTCTGTGGTGAAAGGAAACTCTGGGCCTGTGAATCAGTCTGGACTTCTGATGGACCCTCAGAGAGCTGCTTTCTTGCCTTCTGTGCTGCTCCTGTTCAGGGTGATCCTGAGGGATAGGACTGAGAAGTCCTGCGAACAGTCCCAAGCTTACCGGCAGCCTGCTTTTCCTTGTCAAGTCAGCAGGAGTATAAACATTTAGGTAGAGACAATCTTCAGAAAAATTGAGAGGAATATCTTCCTTTCTGTTGGTAAACAGCTGTGAGAGTACCTGGCCTGCCATTGTATCTTGGGAACACCTGGGAGAAGAAAAACACCTGAGATTCAACTAGTGGAAGCTACACATGGCTCTTGTGGAAAGTTCAGTCCTGTACATGGAGTTAGCATCATTTACGGGGACCATTGCAATGGGTGGTTGTTTGAAGGTGGGAAGCCTGAAATTCTGTAGTCTCTCTCCATATCATGTAGAATGAGAAGGCCCTGGCACCCCCTCCTGCTCCAATGTCTTAGAACGCCCTGGACCAAGGACAGGAGCTGCCCACATGCTGACCTATCCTAGATGATGACATTCCCTGCCCTCCTGGTCTCAACTGAGTTCCTCACCAAACAAGCATGTTCTAATACATGAAAGACTTCCTTCAACCATGAAAATCCCTCAAATTGCAGACAGCTTCAGCAGGTCAGACAGGTCATCTTCATGGGACAACATCAGCAGAACTGCATTCCAGGCCTGTCTTGCCACTGACATCCTGGGTGGCTTTCAGGGAATTCTTGCTGTGGAACCCTATCTCCCAGGTGTAAGTGAAGGATGTTGTTTCCTAAGGGTCTCGTAGCTCCAACATGTTAAGATTTTTTTCCTCAACTTATTTCACAAAATAACTTTCTGCTGCCCTGATAAGGTTTTGAAGATCCGATGCAGATTAGAATTGGTAACATGTACTGAGTTTTCCTTGTATGCCAGGCACTAATTTAAGTTTTCCTTATTAAGTAACTCATGTAAGCCTCAGATCAGCCGTATGCATGGGTTCTATTATTCTTCTTACTTCGTAGATGAGAAAACTGACGCATAGAGGTTAGACAACTTGCCCAAGGTTGCATAGCCAGGAAGATCCATGGTGCTTATACTTCCAAGTACATCATGAGCAATACCTCCAGGTCTCAGTGGACCCACAAGCCAGAATCATTGCTTCTAGGTTGCAGAAGAGATAACTTAGTTTTGAAGGTTCCAGGATGACCCAGCTCTCAGGTGACAGAATCTGAGATGGCAAAGATGAGCTCCAGATTGGGAAAGTACTAACCTAGATCATCAAGTACAAGGAACGTGGTATTCATAAAATTAAAAATTCAAATATCAAAATAAAAATGTTGAACTTCACTAGTATTCAGAGAAATGCAAAGTAAGAACTAAAATTGTATTTATAATTAAAATGCTTACGTTACATAATTATTATTATGTTATTTAATTTACCCCATATCTAAAAGTAATTTTTCCATAAACCCATGCATTGGCAGGGAAATATTGATTAGAGTTTATAACAGTGGAAAGATTGTACACAGTTGGAATATTTCTGAGGGGAAATTTCACAAAACATAAATATTCTTTGCCTCAGAAATACTATTTATTGTAATTCATCTTAAGCTTTCATGATCATTTATAATGGTTTCTCTATGTGTTAACCATAATTTTCTTTATAATATGAAGAGGGTCAAAAGTTTATTAACCCCAAATAAGGGACTGATTAAGAAAATTACATGTCAGTACTGATTTTAATGTAGCTAATAAATGTCAGGGTGTGATAAGCAGTAATACATGGATCTTCACACACCAGGTCTTGATGTTATACTTGTATATGGGCTAGGCACTGATCTAAACTGCCTTTTAGAACCATTTCTGAGGAACAAGGTATGCAATAGATAAAAGGTTAGAAAATATCATTTCAAATATTAGCAGCAGTTCTCTCTGGGTGGCCTAATTGTACATGATTTTAGTTCTCTTATCTTTGTTTCACTGTATGTCCTAATTTTCCAGAGGTTATATATACATATTATATTTGCAATCAAGAAAGTAAAATGGTGAATATTATGTTTTAAAGAAAGGAAAGGGGACAGCCAGAAGCAGCATCTGGTAAATTTTCAGAAGGCCCTTCTCAGGAGAAGACTGAGGAACTGAATGAGATCTGATATAGTGGACATAGATATCTGAGATGCTCAAGAAGAAGCTGTGAAGGCAAATGAAAACTTTGGGCTTTCTGCCAGCTGACCAAGGTAACTGGAGCTCATTGACCTTCTCTGTACCCATCGGTAGGTATGTGGACACACCTGGAGTGAAATGTCAAGTTAGTGACCCCTCGATGCATTCACACCCTTTATTCACATTACTAATCAGCCATGCTAAGGTTAGGGTAGAGAAGATATAGGATCACTACTTTTCTCCTTTATTTGATCAACCTTTTTCTGAACCACAGTGGATATTTTACATATTGCCTAGTTCTTTTATGGCCTTGCATATTTTTTATGTTCCCTGTCTCCTTCATATAATGCATGCTATGAATGTAGGAATCTACATCTACATTGTTGTTCACTGACAGATTCTCTGATCCTAAAACATGCCTGGTGCATAACAAGTGCTTAGTAAATATGTGCTAAGTGAATAGCTATGGAAAACTGTGATAGTTCTAGAATGTCTCCAAGGTTCTCAACAGTATTGGGAAGATTGCCTTGAGTTCTCCCACATCCCTGAGTCAAACATGCCCAAGAAAGACATCAAACCTTACATGGGAGGGTAAGAGGTGGTGTTCTTCACATAGTTCCATGGTTCTGCAGGCTGTGGAGGAGCAAACCTCAGGGATCCCAGAGGTGGTTTGGCAAAAGGGACTCCTAGGAAGACAGCCACAGGCTGTGAAGATCCCTCAAGGCTGACATACTTTCCCAGGACTTTGCCATGCACTGTGTCCACCACAGGAGGTGAGGAGGGGTGCCCTGCTGGACATAGAGATCAAATGGGAAAAAGTGAGGCTTGCATTCCAGGTGGGTTTTGCCACTTTCCAGGCATGTGGTCTTGAACAAGTTACCAAAATCATCTACATCTCAGTTCCTTCTCATGTAAAATAAAGTTGAGGAAAATTGTCCCTTTTAACTCAAAGAGATATCTGAATAAATAGAGTTACAACTTCAGATAGGAAATCATTCAGACAAAACTCAATGTGCAAAAGAGCTTCTGTAAAAGAACAAGATATTTAATCTCCTTATTAGAATCTTCTGGAAGCATGCATCCATTAAAATGCAGCATGAGAGGGTGCTCAATCTTTCATACTGGATGAGCCAATGAACAAACAGAGGCCTCTAATGAGGGCTGACCTTGTAGGGAGCAGAAGCCACAGACTAATGTGACTTTATTCTGGAGAGAAAGAGACTATGTCCTGGGAGAGGAACCAGGAAGGTGCTAGAGTAGCTGGAAGTGGAGTGAGTCTTGATGATGGCATCATGGAGAAGCTGGTACCTGCAAGGGAGTGGTAGGGATAGTAAAAGGTGAATGGGGGAGGGGGCTGGTGAGATGGCTCAGTGGTCTAAAAGCACCTACTTGAAACAAGCTTGGCAAAGCACAGGGAC